CCCCAATCTCGTAACTACTTGCAGCTGTCTGTTTTTATTCAAAGGAACTAGCAAGACCCCTGTCAGTCTGGGAACCACAGCTCACACTACAAGACTCCCAGCATTTCTTACACAATCCTGTTGGAATTCAGTTAAATATCAGAGAACAGGAACCTATCAAAAAATGTGAATTAAACAGCACTCAGAAAATGAGTGTTTCTGTAAAGTTACCTTGATGTTTTTGGATCAGAGGAACACAAACAGCACAATGCTCAGACTATAAAAAGCCCCTGAGGTGATGCCAGTCAGGTGCTGGAAAAGTACCTCTGGGACAAGCAAGTATTATTTTACTGCAATTGTGCAGAGATGTGCAACAGGTGACTAATCCACTGAATGACAGTGGTTCACTGATGTCAGCACTGCACACAACAGATTTTAACTTTCCCATGTCAGAAGGATCATGATACAGAGGTGCAGGGAAGGTATGAAGGGTTCCTGGCGTGTCCCCCCTCCCTGCCCTGGCAGAGCAGCCCTGCAGGGATCTCTGGGCTCTGACTGATTTGCAGGCAGCGTGGCCCCCTTTTTGTATCAAAGAACACAAAGATAAAGGCTCAGATTTAGAAAGACAGATGGGTTTCTATGCCCAAGTATCAGATACTGACTGATCCCAGCAGAAGGTAGGTAACCCAACACTTTTGAAGAACTGGGCCTAAATTTAAACAGGAAATTAGAGGCATTCTCTCAAGTGGGGAGCTAATATTGTAACGCTGGGACTCTCCTTAATTAAAAACAAAATTAAAAAAGCAATAATTAAATGAGCCTGTAGCATCTCCAACAAAGGAAGAGCTCTTCAGATATAACTGGACACCGAATGGAATCTGTGCAATTTTCACATGTTCAGAAGTGTCCAAAAAGCCAAAGTCAAAAGACAGACAAGGAATGCAATGAATTTTCCCCTCTCGTGCATGAGGTACTAATAAACTCAGTGCTGACAGACCCTACAGTCTCAGTCCCATCAGCATCCTGCAACTATTCCAGTGCTCACACCTATTTCCTCTGAATCATTACAATTGTGGGAAATAAAGTTGATCCAGACAAGCACAAGGAGAAACAAATCCTGTCCTGACAAACTCCCACTGGTAGCTGATGGAGGGCAGGATTAACTCTTTTCTGACTGAATTAAAAACCTTCCCTAACTAACAAAGCCACTTTTTTTTTTTTGACTGTGTCACTGTTTGCAAACCATGCCTAATCCAATATTTAACGCTCACTTTTGGGGTCACAGAATTTGGTTTTCCAACATTTGGCAAGAACACAGTTAAGTATTAAAGTATATGGGGAGCAGGAGCACAGCACCTCTAACAGCCTCCACTGCCAGAGCTCCTCACCACAGAGCTTGTTCTCGTGGGAAGTCACTGAGAGCTTTCAAAAAAAAACCCCAAACCAAACCAACCAAACAACAACAAAACCTCCAATCCCAACATTCTGACGAAAAACACCTCTCTTTTGAAGTCACGTGACACAAACTTTCCTGCCACATTTCCTCAACACGTGGTAGTCAAGAATGAAAGGAAAATAAAAGAAATAAAAATGGCAAACACTGGAAATAAGTTCTGTGGATGGTTAGTTGGGGCTGCCTCTTTGCAAAGGAAGATGTGTGCTTAATAAGTGGATATTGAAGGTGAACAGGACTGGAGGTGAACACAGCTTTCCACAGTGACTTCACCGCTGACAGAATCAGTCTGCAAAACATGAAACAGTTTTTCCCCTCTTTCAGTCCTGGCACAAAACCCAAAACAAACTGAACCTTCCCAAAATATGAACACAGTCATGAAAGGCAATTCTAAGCAGTAACCAACCTCACCTCCCAAATAATGTATTTAAAGTAAAACACACCTTCCAGTGTGGGTACATATTTCTAAAATTAATTTTCTTTGTACGCCGATCCTTTTACATTCACCTCTAGTTTCAGGTAGTTTTTAACTGCTCTGACTTACCAAACTCTTTTCAGTTTACATCTCCAGTGTGTGGTTTTTTTATACCTACACACCCAGCACCTCCTGAGTAAACTCCAGCAATCATGGCATGGGGTCAAAGATGCACAAAGTCAAAGCCAAACTCAACACACGGTGCCTTAGGCACGGGAATGTTCCTTCCCAACAGCTTTCCACTTCACAAGCGTGTGCTGGGTATCAATTTATACTCACTGTTAAAAAAATTACTGATAAAGTTTAACTCCAGGACTATATTCTTCAGAATCACCTTGTTCCAGTGCTAAATTTGCCTTCCCTGAGTCAAACTTTTTTACCAAGTAGAAGCTCTCCATGTTAAATGCATGGATGTAGCTGACAAGACATTTAATTTACAAGTAGCCCAAGGAAAAAAATAAATTGTAAAATAAAAATAATGTGCCAGAATCGACTCAGGTTTTTGGTTTTTTGTTTTCCATAAAGTTCAATTCCACCAAGTTTCCCATGTTTCTCAACATTAGAGGGAATATTTTAAGTGAATACTTGGAATTTTGGCTGAGCAGAGGTAGGTGACAAAGAAAACTGTGGTTGCAAAAAGATGCGAATACCAACTGAACACCAACTGCATGAACTTTTAAAGTCCTAAATATGAGTAAAAAACTACAAACAGAGTTAAGAGGATGCCCATCCCTGAGCAGTGTTCCTGAGGAACAGCTGCCAACACAAGCTGCTCATGCACTGGTGTACCCAGTTTCCAGCCACAAGCCTAGTTTTCCATACCTGTACAAACCAAAGGCTTATTTCTCTGTAAAGACTTAAAATATCAAAAAGTATGTAGAAATTTTTGCACTAGTAACACTTTCATGAGTCTATCACCAGACACCTGACAGAAGTGTTACTCTCCAGCATTACAGCAGTGGGCAACATTCCAGTCAAAATGATGATTAACAAAAAACCACTGTCAAGAAATCCTTCTAACAATCAGAGTTCTCCAATGAACGGTTTACAAACCCAGGTAAAAACGGTTCTTCCGTGGTTTGCAGCCAGAATACACTCTATACTCTCAAACTATCAGCTCAGCTGCTATCCACTCGAATTTGGAAGCGTGGAAAATAAAGAGGAAGGAGTTAAAGGCCAGTCCATTTGCTCAGTGAGCACTGTGTGACTCGCATGCCAGCCTCAAGTTGTAGGTCACGTGAGCCAAGATATGGATTAGAATCTTATCAGCCAAGCAAATTTATTCAGATTTTTGGTTATGAGCAGGACTTAACAGCAGAATGAATCCTTACTCCTCTCAGTGGAAATCTGGGAAAGTATTTACAGTCATCCCGTTTTCCAGTAAATTCTCCAGCCGTGATTCAGCCTGTATCACACTATACATCCTGCAAATACATCCCTCGGACATCGCACAGGATCTGCCAGGCTCCCAAGCCTCCTCTTCGCTCACCACATGACCGTGTCACGTACAAAAGAAAAATTTCCCCAAGGTCAACACGGGGAGGGGGGAAAAGGATTTTTTCACAAGGAAGCAAAAATATAGGAGAAATAGAACAGCAAAAAAAAAAAAAAAAAAAAAAAAAAAAAGAAATAACCCCGAGGCAGCGCCTGCCCACACTCACATTTGCAGCATGACTTCGTTCAGATACACTCCATCCACCAGCGCCACATATTCCTCCAGGTTGGTCCCATTTCCTCCGGCTAACGGTCCGAATGTCTTAACCTAAAACATAATGCTCATCATCACCACCACCCTGACATTAACTCCACCTCGCTCTCTTGCCGCAAGGCACTTCTCGTCGAACAATGAGCAAATAAAACGAGTAACGGGGGGGAGGCAAAATGAACGCTTACCCAGGTGACGAGAGGGCTCGACATGAACTGCTCCAGAAGGGGTGTGAAGATCTCGTTCTCCATTTTACAAAAAAGCGGTGAACATCAACGCAGCTCCTCCGACGCAAAAAAAATTAGAGAAGTCCTTCGCTGCAGCAACTCTCTGGAATGCTCCGAGGATTCAGCAGGAGCGAGCGAAACCCATTTTTCCAGGCGATGCAACAGCAATAAAAAAGTCAGTGCGGGGGCAAGCGGGATTTATCCTCCTCTTTCATGAAAAAATGCATCTGCAAGTCCATCTACGCGTATTTCAGCCTTTCCATTGATGCCCGTCCCTCCCTACATAGCGGAGGGGTGGAAGGAAGGAAGGGAGGAAAGAAAAGAGGGAGGCTGCCTAGCTACTGGGATTCTGCATCAGACAAAAAAAAAAAGAGAGGAAGGGGAAAATCTGCTTCAGCAGCGGCAGCGCCTCAGAAAGGAAGGAGAAATTCCAGCAAAACTCCGCAAGCTCATCCTGCCCGTTCCCCACACAAAAAAAGCCCCGAGGGCGGGCGGGCGAGGGGAGCAGCGAGGGCAGAGCCCCCCGCCCCTCTCACGGCCAAGCCCCCCGGGCTGCGGCTGCACCAGAGCCCCGCTGCCCCCCCGCCACGGCACGGACCGGGAGCCACCCCCCGGAGCGACCGGGGGCTATTTTAAACCGCTTCCCTTTTCTACCCCCTTCCCTTTTCCACTCAACTGCGCCTCCGGAGCGCGGCAGGACCGGCACGCGCCGCCCGGCCCCGCAGCCTCGCCCTTCCCCCGCGCCGGCCGCCTCCCCTCAGGCTCCGCTCTCCCCTCGCCGCGGCCGGAGCCCCCCGGACCCCTCCCCGGCTGTTCTCCCGCCGCTCCCGCGGCACCGGCTCCGCCGCCCACCGCCGTCGTGCCCGCAGCGGGGCTGCCTCGCCTCAGCCCGCGCGGCCGCGCCGCATCGCTCGCCCCCTGCTCGCCCCGCTCCCCTCCCTCCTCCCCTCCCTCCCGCCCGCTCTCCCTGCCCGGGGCGGCTCCGCCGTGTGGATCCCTCCGCCCGCAGCCGCGTATCCCTCCGCCGCCGCCGCGCGGGGATGGCGGCGCGATTAGAGAGGGGCGGGGCCGGGGGGGAACCGCTGCAGGACGCGCGCGCGCGAGCGAGCGATGCGGCTGCGGGCAGAGCCCGGAGCCCTCAGAGCCGCGGGAGACCAAACCCTCAGAGTGTCCCCGACCCTCAGAGTGTCCCCAACCCTCAGAGCCCCGAGCCCTCAGAGCCTCCGCGGAGAGAGACCGGCAGGCTCCTCCGCCCACCTCCCGGGGAATAAACGTGCCCCGCAGAGACGATGCTCTTCCATTCCCCTCTTGGGGAATAAAGGTGCCCGTGAGGGAAAAACTCGTCGCGGGAGGGATATTCTCCATCTCCCTCAGGAGAATAAAGGTGCCTGCGAGGGGAAAAGTGCGGGACGGAGGGAAATGCTCTCCCATTCGTCTCTTGGGGAATAAAGGTGCCTGTGAGGGAAAAACTCGTCACGGGAGGGATATTCCCCATTTCCCTCAGGAGAATAAAGGTGCCTGTGAGGGAAAAAGTGCGGGAGGGAGGGAAATGCTCTTCCATTCATCTCTTGGGGAATAAAGGTGCCTGTGAAGGAAAAAGTCAGCGAGGGAAGGAGATGCTCTTCCATTCCCCTCATGCGGAATAAAGGTAGCTGTGAGGGCGAGAAGGAGATGCTTTTTCATTGCCCTTAGGGGCAGAAATGTACCTGTGAGGGGAAAAACTCGGCACAGGAGGGAGATGCTCTTCCGTTCCCTTCTTGGGGAATAAAGGTGCCCGTGAGGGGAAAACTTGGCAGGGGAGAGAGATTCCCCACTCCTCTTAGGAGAATAAAGATACCTGTGAGGGAAATACTCAGTGTTTTTCCATTCCCTTCATGCAGAATAAAGGTGCCCATGAGGGGAAAAAGGCATGAGGAAGGAGGTGCTTTTCCACTCCCCTTAAGGGAATAAAAGTACCTGTGAGGGGGAAAACTTGGTGCAGGAGGCAGATGCTCTTCCATTCTCCTTTTTGCGAGTAAAGGTGTCTGTGAGGGGAAAAACTCGGCAGGTTTTCCCCTCGGCGGGTGGAATCCAGAATCAGGACAGGTTTCCCCCTCAGGGGGTGAAATCCAGACACCCACATTAATGCAAAATCCAGTTTTCTGGATGGGTTTCTCAGGGAAGCAGAGGATGACAAGCAGTTTGCTGGCCTGAGCCATTGTCCCTTCCCTGAGCCACTTCCTGCCACTTGTGCTTCCAATCTCCAATCCTGCATTAACACACAGGGCCATATCTGCTTAATACATTATATAGTCTATTGACAAAGCATCTCAAAAAATCTCCAGCTAAATCCAGCTTCGGTTCTGTGTAGTATAAATTAAACTGCAGCAGCATTTTTTCCCCAATACCTTTAGTTTTGCACATACAATAAGAAAAAAAAACCACCAAAAAAAAAAAAAAAACAAAAAACCAAAAAAAACCAAACCCACAAAACATTGCAATAAAAATGACTGAAATTAAGTCCTTTTGAAAAACATCAAGCAACACCTAAACAGATTAGTTTTTTCTTAACCCAAATACTGGATATAATATTTGTCCTAATGGTCCAAGACTGGGAAAAAAAAATTCCAATCGTGACCTTTTTCCCATGAAGAAGGTCTAAAATTAGATTAGAAAAATAAAGTGGACCTTGAAATATTAGATTTTTTAAAAACAATGTTTCATAGTTACATGACTGTTTTGATTCTCACAATTAAGACTTTTTCAGCCATAACCAGGTCTTCCCCCCCCCCGCCCCCAAAACCAGACCTTTTGAGTGAACTCAAAACAAAAGAAATAAGGAAGGGCAAAGGAAAACTCTGCAGTCTTGGTTCTGAATAAGAACCTGGTGATCCATGGGTGAAATAACTGCCAATAAACTCCCAGCCCTTGAAGGCAGCTACAAAAGCATTTTTGTACGAGCCTGACCAACCAAGCACTTACAGTCCCTGTGTCTGGCAGGAGCCTCCAAACATGCAATTGTGCCCACAGTGCCATGGAACTTCCCTTGTGGGCTCTAATTAGGCAGTAATGACTTGGGCATAAAGCAATTTCTAGGAATTAGAGACTGGCTGGAAGAGGTTGATAGCCCACGTAGTAGTCACGTGTTCCTAACACCAGCTGGCTCCCGGAGAAAACGTTTTGTGCTGAGATTCCATAACGTTAAAAATGGGATTAAAGAGTTTCAGGTGGTTTTGCTCCCCCATCCTCATCCTGCAGTTGGCCTGCACGGCTGTCGAGCACCGTTCCTGCAGAAGCTGTTTGAGATAAATACTGCACAATGTCTCTATGAAATGCCTCGTCATCTGTTTGGTCTCAGATGATTTACGGTTCCTTATTTGAACCGGAAACATCAGCACAAGATAAAATTTCAGAAAAGCTCTCCAGAAACAGTCTGAGGAGTTTTATTTTCGGTTTTGGTTTGGTTTGTTTGGGTTTTTTTTTCAGGACTAAGAGGCCTGAAAACCTGTGGAGAAGCCCCAAAGTGTCTGTGATTTCCACTCTGTCCCACCAAGTGTAAGAGCATTTACCTCATTTTCAGGGACACACGGACTTGGACCAGGACGAGTGGCTGCCAGGGCTGACGTTTGCAGAGGCATCAGAGCCAGAAGGAACTGGACTGCAGCCACCTCAGAGAGGTGAGACAACTCACCCCTGGACAGGAAGGTGTCAGCCTTTGATGGCTGATTCCTTCTTTGATGGACAACCCTCGGAATGCATTGAAATGTTTGTCTTTTGAGTTGTTCCTCTGATCCCAAGCCGAATAGGGAAGGTTTCCATTTTTTGGCATGGCTGTCGGGAGTCCTCAGGAGCACTGATCTAGGAAATACTTACAAGTCACAGCTCTAATTCAGGGGATGGAGCAACACCACTATAACCTGTAGTTTGTGATATATTTGGCTGCACTGTTTTAGCACTTTCTACCTGGGAAGGCACCTAAAAGCAAGTTTAATGACTACATTTACAGTGGTTAATCCCAGAACTTTGTTACTCCAATTCAGCACCAGCTGAGGAAGTTGACAACTGACCCAGAAACAGAGAAGAAACATTATTATTAAATTAAATTTTAATGGTTTTAACTATTATAAGAATGTATATTCGGGAGTACTTTGGAACTAAAAAAATTATCCTTTTTATAATTTGAAAAAACGCACAGAGAACAGGACTTCTCTTTCCCATCTCATTCTCTAGGACAGAACTGTCAGTGTTTAATACAGTGTGTAGCCTACTCCTTTGAGCAAAGGGATTTAGAGATTACCCTTGTTGTTTGAAGAGCAGTGTTTGTTCTTGTACAGGTGAAGCATCCCCAGCTCCTTTCTCTTGCACCTCCTTTGGTTCCACGAAGACTCGACACAGAAGACATGGAAACGTTCAATCATCTGTGCCCAGACCCCAGATCTGCAAATCACAGGGTTACTTCATCTTCTCAGGGAACTCGTTTTGCTCCTGGCATCATTTCCTGTGCCTGTTGTTGCAAAATAAAATCTGAAAAAGAACCACTAGAACACCGAGCGATGCCTTAAACCTGCAGAGGGCAGGAAGGTGTAACTGCACAGCCCCACTTACCTTGGCTGAGTTGGTCCAAAGATTTCTGCTCAGCCCTGCCCTCAGTGAGCCAGGGACTGTTTGGGGAATAAATTACCAGCACCCTGCCCTTCTTAGCTGCTGCAAGACACAGTGGTTTTCTCTTCCTCTCCTCTCGAGAAAGGAGGTGACGCTGCTGCTGCTGCTGGTTTTGCTTCCTGCTGTGTTGATAGGCCTTTGCCTGATGAGACATCAGAAAAGGGGAAAAACACAGACCAAATGTGGATGCTTGGGATCCACGGCAGGGTTATGAAAGCACAGTCAAAGCCTGAATTTTCTGATCATGGGCTGACTCGAGAGGACAGTGTCTAGCGAAAACTGCAAGCTGATGGCGAGGAGAGTCACCTTCCTTGTCCTGTGTTTGCTCCCTCTCAAAGCAAGGCTATAGGAATAGATGGGGAAAGAAAGGGAAGAGTAAAGGCACTGAGGGGCTGAGCCTTTTTAAGTATTGCTAGGAATTCCTAAAGGTCCCACAAACACAGCAAGCTAAAAGTTACTTCTTGTTCCACAGGAGTGAAAAGAAGGGGAAATCCCTCTGTAACGTGAATAAAGAACTGAAAATTCCACAACAATTCTTGAAGATTTCTTCCCTGCTGCAGTGTCTGCTCTGAGGTGACCAAAATCCCCCATCAACCTTCAGGGAATTTTCTGAGAAAACCGTAAGTAACCTCAAAATGAGAGTGTTTGGAGGGAAAAATTAAGAACAAAACAGCGGGGGCTTGGTGAAAGCTGGCATTGTCCATTTAAGGTTTTTTACAGGTCCCAGACATTTTGCAGTTTGTGTCCCGTTGTACCAAGTAGCAAGAAATAAGTGTAGAGACAGCAGACAAAATACCCTGAGTGGGTACGTGCCATCCTGGGCAGTTCTCTGCATCACAGGCATCAGAATTCCTGTCAGGCAGAATGCTCATTGCAGGAACAGGCAGTGACCATTTCCAGCCATGCCCACCTGACACATCCACACTTTCCTGGAAGGGCTACACAGACAGTTCTTAAACCATGAAAGAGCCGGTGAAAGTATTACATGTAACACCGGGATTCATCTGAGGAGGGAGGTGCCTGCAGCTCTTTGTTTCTTTTCAAGCAGTTGGAGTGGCGGGAAGGATGTTACTGTGGCAGGTCAGCTGATGGGATCAAAAATAGGCCAAGTACTTACCTTGATTTTTAAATTGAATAGCTGTTCCTAAATATTTCCATAGGATGAGACTCGCTGTAAGAGAGTGTCAGGGAAATAGTGCCTTTCAAAGAAAACTCTTTTGAACTTAGTGTTGCAATTCAGATCTCCTTCCTGTTCAGCCAATAAAACGTCCAGCTGTGTTTCTGGCTGTCAGCTGCCAGCTACAAGACTGCCTAATAATGTTGGTTGGGAATTTCCCTTTGGTATTTGCTGCGTACAAGGAAAATAGATTCCCCCCCCACCCCCCCCCCAAAAATCGAGCATTAAGCACTACAGCAAGAACAGCAGTTACCAGGACAATGGCTTTGGTACTCACTCCTGTTGTGGCCAGTGGAGTGAGACTGAGCACAAGCCCTTGCTGACATGCCTTCTGTCAAACAAGGCCATGCCAGTGCGAGCAGCGTTTCCTACGAACTGGGTCAGGGAGACGAACGGCAGAGCAGCTCTGCACTTCCTCCGCCGAGGAGCAGAGTGCAGAGGAGCAGAGTGCAGCCCGGGGTGCTCGCTGTCAGCAGGAGGAGCAGAGTGCAGCCCGGGGTGCTCGCTGTCAGCAGGAGGAGCAGAGTGCAGCCCGGGGTGCTCGCTGTCAGCAGGCACAGCTGGCCGGGTGTCTGCACAAAGCGAGGCACGGCGTGGCACCAGCAGCACCGTGGCACCAGCAGCACCGTGGCACCAGCAGCACCGTGGCACCAGCAGCACCGTGGCACCTCGGAGCCCTGAGGGACGGACACAAACAAGGAGCTGGGTTCCTTCCCTGGGGCTTTCCTTTAGCGAGGGGCGCTCCCACCGCTCAGCCTCGCAGAACACCAGAGGTTTTGTAACCCCTGGGAAAGAATTCCGTACCCCTCCGAACTCCAGCTGCCTCAGTTCTGCTTTACTATGACCCTAAGTTTGCTTAACCAGCACCACTTCGCTGGGAGCTGCCCCCCCGTCCTTTGCTGGTGCCTCCCTCCTCTCACCCACGTTTTCAGGCTCGATGCCACCTGCCCCCAGTACCTTGGGTGATGCTGCCATGAGAGCCAGGCTCCCGAGCTCAGGAGGAGTTATTAACTTCCAGAGCCCTGCATTAACCTCTGCTGGCAGCGTGGCTCATTAGAGGCATTCCTCTCCAGCTGGAGATGGCACTTGGGATCTTCCCAAGGTCACTACATGATGAACTGGATGCAGCACATTTCTGTGTTTGAGGTTTCCATTTGTCTACTTAGTTATGGACTTCCTTATGCCCACAAGAAGAAGGAAAAATACACAGCACTAAAAACACAATTGTGGTAGAATCACTTCTGTTCAAACCTCTGAGCTCAGGATTATCCTATCCATTATCCTATCCATTTCCATGTCTGATTTTACCCCTGGTTATTTGGCAAATTATTTACATCTGAAAACAGCTTTTCTCTCTATGAAATACTAGTGAAACAATTAAAAGCTTTTAAGATATCCCTTATTTTGCCTTCAGGAAAATCTTTTGACAGGCTTGTAGAACAAGAAAACACACGTTATTCTTTTACAGCATCACATTAAAAAGAGTGATATAAAAATATTTTAACCAATTAATAGAAAAAAAATAAAAGTAATGAAGAAGTAACTAATGCCAGGTCAAAAAATGGTAATTACACTTATTAGATGGGATTCCTGAAGAAGCTTCTTTCAAGAGTGTGGATCAAGAGCCACCTAAAGCTGGGAACAGCCTCCCCATTCACACCTCTTTCAGAGGCCACTGGTAACTCTAAGACCCCTTTGTTTGCTCTGAGTCCGGAGGGTTCAACTCCCTGTGGCATCGCTTTAATTGTCAATTTAACTGGAGATTAACACAAAATTGAAATTCTTACCTAACGCTGTTCGTCTCTGGAAAATAAGCCGTTTTTTTACCCAAACCTACCAGGCTTTCAAATGTATCATTCAAATATTTTTCTGTGCCAGCTAATTCTTTTTTCTGCTAAAACCTCCAGTGACACTTTAGGCCGTTTAATTCAGGCTTTTCCGAGCCACTGCCACCAACAGCTTATTTCCTGCCTCCTCCTTTGTAGCGTCTAAACGTCTCCCTTGGGTGGACTCTTCTTGCCAGCTTTATATACCCCTAAAACGCTATATTTCTTCCTAAGGTGGTCATACAGTGCTGAAGTTCCCCCTGGTTTTTACGTGCTGCCCTGTGACACAATTCCTGAGTTAAGGGTTGGTGTGCAGTGGCTCAAAAGCCAAAAGACTAATATTTTTCCTTGTGATTTCACACTTACACCGAGATGTCAGTTGGTTGGTTGGGTTTTTTCTTTTATCTATTGTGAAGCAATTTCGTACACTACTGATATTTTAATGATAATATTAATCAACGAGCCGCTTAAATTATTGCTGAAACAGGCTGCCCAGGGAAGTGGTGGAGTCACCAGCCCCAGAGGGCTTTAAGACGTGTAAATGTGACACTTGGGGACGTGGTTTAGTGCTGGCCTTGGCAGTGCTGGGTTGATGGTTGGACTCGATCTTAAAGGTCTTTTCCAACCTAAAGGAGTCTATGACTTCTTTGATTTTTTTTTTTTAATAACCTGGGTAAGATTAGAATTCTGATTTCTGTGTGTATCAGTCTTGATTTCAGCGTGATATTTTTTTCTGTGGGCCAGAAAGGGTTTAATTTTGCTTAAGGTTATTACTTTTAAATATAGGTCAAACTATATAAATATACAAAGCAAGTAGAACACTGTAGCCCTTTTCACACAGTTTTTCAGGAAGTGTTACACTAAAATAATGAACAGTTCAGAATCTATTCCTTTCTGCTACTGTGACCCATGAGATATTTTTGATCACAGAATTAGTCCACCTTAACGGTCTGCCTTAAAAGGATGAGATTATTCAGCTTGTTCAGGCTGTATCTCTGCAAAAGGAAAACACCTTAACAAAGAATGGTTTGTTGCTGACCTGCAGCTGGTTATGGCATTTCATCTGAAAGCCTATTTAAGTCCTTAATGGCAACATTTATTCCCTCTCCCTCGGAGGAGTATTTTACAAACAAAATTAATTAGCAAAGGAGGACAGCCAATTTGGTGCTATAGTTCAGGCTGACAGTCACCCAAGAGGGGTGTTGGCAGCAATAATAATCATTATCCCAAAGCACGGCGAGGGCTCCTGCCTGCGAGGAGATCCCTGCTTGGAGCTGGAGCTCCCACCCTGCCTGTGGAAGGGAAGGGAAGCAGGGGCTGCTGCCCAGGGCTCGGGCACTAATGGTGGGAACAGCCCACGAGTCACCTCCCGCTCAGATTATCCACCTCCGAGCCCCGGAGCCTTCCCCCAGCCCGGCCCTACCTGCGCTGAGAGGAGTGTCAGGAGCTCTGGAGTGTCCTTTGTCACAGCTACACGGACCGTGCCTGAGAAATGACTCAGGCGTTTAGGAACCGCTAATCCTCCTGGTGAACAACACAAGGCTTGTTTCTCCGAAGGAATTTCTCACTCCAGGGCCCGTGGCACGGTTCAGTTTTGCCCACTAAATGCTCTTGCAGCAAGACAAAAAAAAAAAAAAAAGGCAAAAAGAGGGGTTTAATGCCATTTTTCTGGAGCTGTTTTATGATGGCATTGTTCTGATAATGTCATATTTATATGTCTGCTCTTTGAAGAGCTAATAATTCTCCCAGTGCTTATTAACAGCAATAACAAAGAGAAATCCAGCTGTTCAAGAGACAGGAAAAGAAGCTTGACGGCACAGAGGGTTAGAAATAATTTCAGTTCAATTATCATGGGTTTGAGAAATGGACACCAAGCAGGAAGCTCCCTCTAAATTCCCAAATAAATCCTTCCCATAAGTATCCCAGTTTTCCCTGTCACTATGGGTTATGTATCACAGCCTGTAACAGCAGGAAATCCATAACATCACACACAGTGACAGTTTATTTCCCCCCTGCTTTTACACACGCAAAAAAAAATGGCAGTTGCAGAAGAAACAAGAAAAATATTGATAAAGGTAAGTCAGGTAAATACCATTTCTCAGTACTAAGCCTTCATTCCTAGTGTGACCCTATTTGAAGTGAAAGTTGAAATTCTGGCAGCAGACATTATATAACTAGATTCACTTCATAACAGAATCGTAGAACTGAAGCTCCTTTACCTTATGTAACACTTATTTTAGCTTATTTTTAACCGTGACTTGAAAGTCATCCTAGGAGCTCCTTAGGCTTTTTTTTTTGTCAGTGCACTACAAAGGAAAACTCCAGCTGAAACTGCACCTCCTCTGCTCTGTGCTTGAACCAAGAGTGCCCCCGTGAGGATTTGTGTTTGTAGAGATGCACAGGAGTAGAAAGCTTGAGGGCGACTGCTCAGCTACAAAGTGAATTAAACTTTCTACTTTAACGTGCAAATAAAGCCCCAGAAATTTGCACACGGTTTTTCTATTAGGCTGATGTGGATACACACGAGCCTTGCTGCTCCCAAACCTCTCTGTAATCCTGGCTCTGCCTAAAACTGTGTAACTAAAATCCACCAAATCTTCAACAAAAATAACAGTGCTGATCTGTGGTACAGACCAACTTAAAAATGCTTTGATCCAGAAGATGAGAAGGGGGGGGGGAAAAAATCGGAAATTTTGGCAGGTAAGGAGTTAGGAAATAAATAAGGTGTATTATGAGACAACAGATTATTAGGAGAAAAGGAGAAAAAGCATTAAAACAAGTTTTCTGACGTGGGAAAAAATACAAGAGGAACAGCACATGAGGAATTTTGAGAGCGTTGTGTATAAAATCTGGTCAGAGAAGTGCTGATTTGAAAATGAAGAGCTGCTGCTGCTGCAGGGTGTGCCCACACAGGGGACTGGAACAAATTAAGGGCACCGAGCTCAGTTACTGCTCCCTGAAACCATCTGAGCCCAGACGATGCACGACTGGCACGAGATCACACATCTGCTTCTGGTCCCAAGGGACTCGAGGGCTCGGTGGGTTGGCACTGACTTTGCTATGGATGCCTCTGAGCTGGGCTTTGCTTTGCAGCCCCCCTGGTGCTTCTCCACCCAACCTGCCTCCCCAGCAGCCCGGGCAGTTTGCTCTGGGACCTGCTGTGCCCATCAGAGCCCCGGTGTCCTCTGTGCTTACAGGGCTGGCTTTAGGCTCCAAGAGCTTTATGCAAGAGCCTGGCTGAGCCCTGGGGAGCAGCAGGGGCTGGAGTGGGCCCTGAGAACAAAGCTCTCAGCCCCTGTGCACACCCAAAGGTCCAGACCCGGGCTTGTTGGTGTTTATCCTGTGTGCCATCAGCATTGCCCTTCACCATACAGACTCACTGTGCACCTTAAAACAAAGAATCCCTGCCCCGGGTATCCCCAGTCACCTGCTCCTAACCCACCACAGCATCGCTCAGCCTGTCACAGACTGTCACTGACCTTTCTGAGCAACCTGTCCTGACTTGCCAGTGTCAGCCCTCCTCACTGGAGGGTTCTGTGGGGAGCAGTGAAGGCCTGGCACAAAACCCCACCACCACAGGCTTTGGGATTCACTGGTACCTCTTGCTCAGTGACTTACTTATCCCATTCTTTCACGCTGGCTCAGCTTCAGAGTCTGCCACTCTGGAAGTGCTTCTCTTTCCCATCCCTTATCCCCTCCGGCATCCTGGATTTACAGCTGGAAATCCTGCCACAGAAAGTGTTCACCAGGCTGTGCAGCAGGGAGCTAAACACTTTGTGAGGGTGGGTTCGAGTCGCTCCATCCTAGTACAGATTAGTGCACAGCACAGAGCACCACAGGAGGCCTTTGGGAGGCATTTTCCAAGTACAGCATTTCATCTGTACTAAAGCTTTCAGGCCATATTTTTCTCATACAAAAGCATTCTGGCACCAAAATGCATACAAACAGCAAGGAGCCAGTAATATTAATACCAAACATGCTAAACCCTATTTATTTCACTGGAAACCATGTGTATTTCTGCAGGGAATGTAAAATTGAATTTCAAGTACAGGAAGTGCTCTGTTACTACTCTGGCACCACAATGCAGAGCTGCTTTGTTGTTTGCTCTAGAATAGTAAGCTAAGCCTGTCCAGCCAAGTGAAGTGTCAGGAAGGAGCCTTCTGATCCCCAGCACCAAAATGGATCTTGCTGGTCTCTTGTCAGCCTTCCCAAGCAAGCACTTTCCCTACTTTATCACAGTGAACACATTACCGGTATTAGGACTCCCAGCAGAGTCTCAAATGCAATTTCTAACCCTTGTCCTCCATCCAGCTCTCCTCATGGCCCACAGTCCTGCCAGGATTGCTGCCAAGAGTGCAAAAGCATGGATTAGCTTCACCCCGTGAGCCTGTGAGCATATGCAAACCAGCAGAACTCCATCAAACCTCGCAGAGACACATCATGGCAAACCCCTCCCCAACAGATCCCGAGCTCTGAGGAACCAGGATCAGGAACTGGCTAAGAAAACATCAGCAACGCACCACCCCACTCCTAAAAAAACCCAACCCCAAGACAATAAAACCCCTCAAAGCCCAAACCAGCAACAATAAAGAGGCAAGGAGCGATCAGCCTGGTCTGACAGGATCGTCAATGCTCCTTCGTTCTGGGGACAGCAGTTTATCTCATAAACTCCCCATTCAACCTCTGTCCCTGCAGGCTGTGGAAAACAAGAGCCCCTGGCTGACTCCTGTCCCCCCCAGCTGAAAGCAGGGTGGGTTCCAGTCTGTGCCTCTCCAGAAAACAGCACTGGGACTAGAGAGAAAAGGCCACAGCAAAAGCTTTGTGCACCGGTACCTTTCCCCTCCTTGCCTTCCATTGTCATACTAACGTGAAGTCACTGGTTTTATTGCTCCTCATCCCACCTCACTCCCTGTGTGTGTTCCCTACAAACTCTAACCAGCCTGCTCGTTCACACCTTGGGGAGGAGTGTTCACGAGTTTTATACACTTGCCACACTTGGGAACTTTTACAAGGTTAAAAAAGCACGAGCAAGGCACACAGGGGGTGAAATAAGTCCTCTGCAATGAGAGCACAGCCCCCAGCTTTGAGTTCTGCTGTGAGGTAATCCATGGTACAGGCACAAAATCACCACAGTTACGTCACCTGATGATGAACATTCCATGAAAGCAAAGTTGCCAAACTGCTAGAACTGTTTTGGGTTGGTTTGTTGTTTTTTTTTTAAATCATAACATTAAAGCACAAGTAAAAAATCCCACAAATACAAACTACATAATAAATAACTCATGGTGCTTTCATAAAAATCCGCTACGAAAACTTACCCAGAGCCTAATGAAAACCACGCAGGCACTGGAATCCTACACCCAGCGTGCCCTCCAAGTAGGAACAGGAACAGCCCTGCTAGTGCTGCTATCATTTAACTTGTTTATAAAGCTGGGAAAAGCTCCAGCTGCAATCCCACCTCTGTTTTTTGTGCCTTCCTGTGGTCGTAGGCGCAGAAAATAAATAGCAGAGCAGGAGTGAAGCAGCAACACCACACAGCACCTTTACTCTTCCCAGTGCTGGCTGTGGTGGCAAACCCCTCATTGCCCGGTGCCCCTCACCTGAAAGCTGTTGGGAGGCCAATTGCAGCAGGGATGAGTTGGTGGGGTGGGGTGAGGAGTTTGGAATTCATGGGCTGTGCTCAGATCCCAAAACAAGTCACCCTGACCCTGCTGTGTCACCCTGAACACATGGCTTCATCCCATGGTGAGCACGGAACCTCTTCTGCACCTGGGATGCGACAGATAAGGCACACTGGGAAATGGGATCGAGTTCTGCTCTCTACTGTGTGTAATCTGCCCACCTAATTTGCATAAATATCCCGATATCCCACGTGCTCCAGGTCCTGCCATCTGAAACCCATGGCCTGTACAAACCACTTCCATCTGTATCTCCCCAGAAAGATTTCTTTCTTGTCCATCCCGTTGATTTCTCTGTTTCTGCAGCAGAAAGCACAGTTTCTGTGAGGCTCTCCAATGCATTGTCTTTTGGGTTTTGTTTATTTTTTTTTTTTGCTTTTATAACCAAGAATACATTGCAATTAGCCAAAGTTCTTGGGGGCAACTGAAACATGTGGATAATAAAACTCAGAAATGCAAACTCTCCTTCAGTCCCTTCCACAGAGCCCCCAGAAGCAGCACTTTTGTCTGTAAATGCCTTGTTGAAAGCCAAGCCCTGCAGTGACACTAAAAGACTCCAACCCAACTCATGTCCCAAACTAATTAATTCCCCCTTGCACTGGGCAGACAAGGAAACCCCAAGGTCAGCCTTCAGATCTGTTCTGGTGCCTGAATAAAAGGAAAAGGAAAAAGGAAAAGCTCTGTGACCTTTATTTGGAAGTGGGTAATTCCACTGAACCAGGAAAAGCTGCATCTGTGGAGTACGAAATGGTGTCAGTAAGGGTGTGAGAGCTTTTCCTGGTTCAGTGGAATTACCCACTTCCAAATAAAGGTCACAGAGCTTTTCCTTTTTCCTTTTCCCTTTCCCTTTTTAACCTGCTCACGGCTGGAGAACTCGGTGCCAGAAGAGATTAGAGTAACAAAGCTCACAGGCTTCGAATCAAACCACAGACTTCACCTTGCTCTAGTTCATCTTCCATCAATAACAGCTGAAGCTGCACGGAAAAATCCACATCATTTCAAGGCTTTTTAGAATTCGAGAGGTGCAGACAGCCCAGGAAAAATAATGGTGAAAGCACTGCAGCAATTACTCAAATGCTGCTAAAATACTCGGTCAATGCATGGAGAAAATCCCCATGGAAAATATACAGGTGTATATGGGAATAAATCCCATAAATGAAGAGCAAAATTTGCTTCAGGAAAACAGAAGAAATCAGATTTATGGATAGACTTTTGGATAAATGTGTGGATAAAATGAGCATGGTTAAAATGGCAAGTATAGAAATGAAAAAAAAAAACATAAAAGAGGGAAGAAATAAGTGTTCTTGTAGTTTTAGTGTCTCTTATTTCCACAAGTCATAAAGTGAAAGCTTTAGATGTTGGACACTTGAGATGCTTTTAAGATTAGATAATTTAGCTAAGAATCATTATTACATGAAAAGCGATGGCACGTGCTTATTGTTAGATAATTACCTTAGGAATGGCCTCTCAGGCAGAGGAGATTCTTGGGAAACAGCCTTACATTTGTGTGAAACCTCCCAGTGCTGAGGGAAGAGATAAGCCTTATAAAAGGAAAGAAAATGACCTAAATAGGAAGAGCTTCACAAGTTCCTGCAGGAGCTCAGCATCCCTGAGGGCAGGAAAATGAGGATAGCTCAGGATTCACTGCTTGACTTCAAGCACTTCTTCGTGTTTGCATTTCTCTTCTGTTTGAGCTTTGACTAAAGCACAGGGAAGTCCCTGAAGTGTAACATATTTAACCAAAAAACCTCATCAATAAGTAATTGCCAACAATCCCAAACCAAGCAGTATTTTAACTTGTGACCTTTCATGCAAAAGTCACATTTAGCTCTGTCTGTTGAACTGAAGGAAAAGGCCTTTGCTCCACAGGTTTCCAGAAACTTGAGCTCGGGGTTCTCTTTGAGGTCAGACTTATACCACAATTCTAGAATTTCCTTTCAAAGGTAGACTTACTCCCTAAAAAAGAACCCCTCCCAAATGAAAATTTATGAAAACAAACTGGAAAAGTTGTATCAGGTTTACTAAAGTGAAAATATTTATAGCTGTTGCAGCTGTAAGACAATTACAAAACAGGGGGATGGAAGAATTAAAGCCTAAACAAAAGAGTAATTAATAACAAGAATTAAAGCCTAAACAAAAGAGTAATTAATAATAAGACTGTTTAACCATTTGCCAATATCCTTTAAACTACTCAAACATCTGCAAAATTATCCACCTGGAAGAAATTAAAGGTAGTGTAAAAACTATTGCTTTGCCAAAAGCTGAAAGCTCATCTGCTCACTTTTTTTGCCCCTTTTTTTTGTTTATAAATAGATAAATAAATTTAGAAAGGCAGCAATAGATCAACAGCGACGTTCACCACTAAGAAGTCAGATATTCCCAAGATTTTGGCATTTAAGAATTCCTTATTATTGTGCATATGAGTGGAACCCACTGGAGTGAAGAGAGCTGGGCACTGACATAAAGAATTCAGTGGAATGCAGAGACTGGAAAGGCCTTGACAAAATTTACCAGTCAGTATTTATATTTTTTACTATATTTATATATATATATATGTATAAAGCAATGACCCAAGAACGTGTCAAAATGTCTGAAATAGCAACTTGTTCACAGAAAAGAGAAAAATAAGCAATAATTTCTCTGTGACTCAGACAGGGATCATTTCCTGCTTTATCTCTTGTGTTGTTAACAACCACAACTCCAGTGTTTGCCCTGACAACAACGGGCAGAACGTGACAATGTTGGGCAGTCCCCTGGGAGGGGATAAAATGGCTATGAACATCTTTTTAAAAGGATGAGGGGATATCAAAGAGTTTTGGTTGTTTTGGAGGTTTTTCACTTACCGGTGACACACCAGTAAAGTGCCATTCATCCAGCATTAGGAGGGAAATAAATGTCAGTACTGGGAAAAACTTCCCAGTCCCTGAGCAGTGTAACAGGCGAGGACAGTGAGAGAAATAACCTTAATTTTAGTGGAGAAACGTGCCACAACCAGCAGCCCTACGAACCCCCCCAATAACGGAGTGTTCATGTAAACCCTCTTACCTGTAGCCTTGTAAATCGTTTCCCAATTCCTTCGCCGTAGGGTATTTACAACATTACCGAGTTACAAATTATCCCTGTTCCCGCGAAGGCCCGATGAGTGACCAGCGTTTTAATTAGAATTAGAGCACCAGGTACAACAGCCAGCAGGGCACACGCGAGGTATTGTTTGCTGCACACTGTCCCTGCACTCTGGGCATGATAAAATGGGGGGTAACGGGAATTTTCCACCACCCGGGATCATCCTTATAAAAATTGAATGCATAAGCCCAGCTGTGCTGTGACACTGACGGAGGCAGTATAACAGCTGGGGGAGTCTCTGGGGGGCGCGGGGCCATGTCCCACCGTATCCCGGTTATCCCCAAACACAGGGAAGCCGCAGCCTGGCTGAGCAACCTGTTGCCGTGCTGGGTGACCCTGCCCTCGGCAGGTACCCTCGGGCTTCGGGGGGTGCCGAGCACTGCAGTTACTAATTCCTTCTGTTCCAGTGGGGCGGGGTGCCCGCGCCCGGGCGGCCGGGATGCCGCGGGACGATTGATGGAGCTGGACGATGGAGCGGGATGATGGAGCGGGAGATGCTGCCGCCAGCCCACCTTCCCCCCCGGTGCCCACCCCTCCTGCTGCCGCGCGGGCCCGGCGCCCACCTGCGCCAGGTAAGCCCGCCGTGCCGAGCGGCTGCCGGGCCTCCTTCCCGCCGGGCGGATTCCAGGGAATGCCGCGAGGGCGGCCCCGGTGCGGGCGGTCCCGCCCCGTGACGCCGGTGGCCATCGCGGCCGCGCCGCCGGCCATGGCGGCGGAGGAGGAGGACGACGTGGAGTGGGTGGTGGACACGATCGCCGGGTTCCTGCGGGGGCCCGCCTGGTCCATCCCCATCCTGGAGTTCATGGAGCACAACTGCGAGGGTGAGCGCCGGGCCGGGCGGGCGGGCCGGGCGGGTCCCCGATCGCCCCGCGGGCTCTGTGCCCGCTCCGCGGGGTCCCCCCGGAGCCCGGGGCTGTGCGGGAACGGGCGCGGCCCCCGCCGGGCGCTCCCGGGGCCCGCGCCGGCCCCCGAGCCAGCCCCGTGCCAGGACTCGCATCCATTAGCTCGTCCTGGGATTACGGCGGGAGCTTACGGCTGACACCGGGCGAGAGCTTCGCCCCGCTCGGCCTCCAAGGCTTTCCCAGAGCCGCGGGTTTTCCGTGGGAAACGGGGCAGGACAGCCAAAAGCGCCGCCTGGCCGGTGGGACAGAGGAGGAGAAGGCCCAAAGTTAAGTTCCTGCAGTTGTGTGAACGTTGTCAGTTCAGAGGTGAGAAGCCCTAAATTAGTACCTCCCAGAAATGACAGTCAGCACTAAAAATCAGTGGGTACCAGTCGTGTGTTGCAGTTGGTCCTGTGCATGAGTTTAGCTCAGAAGCAACTCCAGTTAAACCTGCTTTTCTTCCTCAAGAAGGAAAGGAGGGAATCAAGGAAGAACTTGGGGAACAGCCTGGAAAAGTGGAAGTCCAGGCAGTGAGGGGGACCTGGGATCACCCTGTAGCCCGGGGAGACCTGTACAGGTGTGTCTGTAGCGAGGGAAGGAGGAAACATTTCCTGATGTAGAAATTTGGCTAAATTACTTCTGCTGCTCACAGAACAATTTCTGCTGCCCAAAGAATACCTGGAGCCTTGTGGTACCAAAATAGAGACAATTTGGGCAAGTCTGAAAGCAGTGCCTAAACCCTTTGGAAATCGAAAGAAGCTTTAATTTGCGATTATTGACAAAAATTGCTTCTCAGTTACCCGGAATCATTTCTCCTCCTCCCAAGCTTTTACCTGAGGCATGATCATGGTGGGGCCCGTACACCTTGCCCTACTACAGCAGGAAATGAGGGAGGGAAAGCTGCTGGAGGTGGGAAGGGATAGGGCAATCCAGCCTGGAAGCGTTCTCCTGGGAAGTCTGCCCAAAGTTGGCGAAGCGCTGCGGTCTCATGCGAAGGGTGTAGGTTTAGGTGTCCAGGGAATTGATTTATCCCTCTCGGGAGCGATGATCTCTCTTTAGAAGGTTGAGGGGAATTTGCAGGCAGTAAGAAGATTGTGGGCCCGCTGTAATTTTCCAGGGCTGGGATGGGGCCTTCTGCTGGGCTGATCCCACTGCTGCCCTTGCACCCACAGACTTTGTCAGGGCACAGTTCTTCACGTTGCCAAAACATTCGGTCTTTGGGCGGGACAAGCAAATTAGCAACGTTTTCATCAACTGACAATAATTTGTGATTGCTCGAAAACACCATGTGAATTTTGGCAAGTCGGTGTGTAAGGAATTCATTTTGGAACTGTAGTTACTTGGGCCCAGTCCTTGCACTTCAGCTTGTAAATGATCATAATGGTTTTCTTTCCCTCTCCCATAATTTCTTATGGCTGCACTGATTTCCTTTGATGTGGAACTGCACTTGAATCGATGGGTGTGTATTTAGGGCAAGAAGGCTTTCTGGTTTTACTCAGATGTTCCAAAGGTGCTCACTGAAACATCATTTGGGCATAAATAAGCTTGGTAATAGCTGTGAGCACCAGCAGATAAAGGTACAAAAGGAATAAACAGCCCTTGTGGCCTGGGACTCCCTCCCAGCACAGAACCACCTCACCAGCCCATGACTCAAACCAAACTTGACTTGAGCTCATCCCGTTTGAGGGGTTCTGGGCAGGATTTTCAGTTTTACCAGGAAAATGGTGAGCTTGTCTCCCGGGATATCAGGGTCCCCTGGCTTGTCGTGACAGGGTGGTTCTTCAGATCTTTGTTGCTGTTGGGCAACCAAAGGCTCTGTGCCAAACCCCTAAAGGAACAATGACTGTGTGATTTAAGAGCCCTGACTCAATGAAATCCAAGGTCTCCGTTCCAAGCACTCCTAATGCCACTTAGCCGGGAGGAGATGCTGACTGCAGCTCCCTGCACGTGGCACTGAACTTCATCCCAGCGTGTCCTGAGCCTGAGGACAGAGCACAGCCCTGTGTCACCCCGGACAAAGGGAACAGAGAAGCCAGAGGGGAAGGTGGGGGTCTGCAAAGGGCTGTGAGGGATCCCCGGAGGGGAGGAGGTGCAGGAGGCAACAGGGGCTGTCAAATGTCTCCACCCTCTTGGCTTTGGGAATGTGGTGGTTGCCGTGGGAGTAAGAACTGTACACATTTCTTACCATTTGAACTTATTATTAGATATTTTAAATTAATTCGATTTTTATTTTTTTAATTTCTTCATTAAAATTGTCGCCTCGTGCAAAAAAACCAAAAGCAACGTTGCTGTTCCAGATTCTGATTAAAAAGCAAGTTTTCTTTGCTTATTACGGGGCCTGAAGTGTGTGATTGGATTTCTCTCACTGCACTTGCTGGGAAGGGTTAGGAAGTGGTGGCAGTGCCTCCTGCTTTAGGAACTGCCCCCTCCTCCAGTCTCGGGGCACTCCCAGCCGGGAAAGGCGTCGGAGGAGCTCACAAAGTCACCCCAGATGTGGGTGAAGGTCACACTAATTCCGTGGGCATCACCCCCCTCAGGGATGTCACCTACATGTGAAGATTAAACCACCCTCGCCCACCAGTTCCAGCAGAATTCCCGTATTCCTGCAACCACTTCAAAGGATGCTCCCGGGAAGTGACTTGTCTGACACGGAGTGGCTAATCCTGAAGGGGATTGAGGCAGCCTTATTTCTAAGCCTCTGCTTTAATTGCCAGGTTTTACATTACCTCTCTTCTTTGTTGGCATGAAAAAAATGTAAATTACCCCCCCCAAAACCCTTAGTTTTCAGCTTCCCTGGCATTCTGCTCCTTCCACCTCCTCTGCAGCGTGGACATCGTGAGCCTGACAGTTCCACTCAGGAGTTCTTGAGATGGGTTTATGCAAACAGGATTAAAACAGAACTTCACCACATTTCCTCTTTGGGTTTGCCTGGTTTTATGCAGGCAGGGGCTCATTTTCCTGCATCACCTTGGCTAAAAGGCTGACATTTAAAAAAACTCATTAAAAAAGTCATTAATTAACCCATCCTCAGTGTAAATAGATGGAGAGAGAGAAATTCCCTGCTCTCTGTGTCGTCTGCCACCTTGGAACACCCCTCCACAGGTTCCTGTGGTAGTTCCTCTATTAAATCTTAATTTTTAGTGAATGTAGCTGCTCAGTCCTCAACTTACAAGTCTATCAGGAAGATACATTTCCCCAATATTAAATCATGACACTTAATTACATTAAATTACCAAAAGCACACGCTTGGCCTGAGTGTGGGGAAGAAACACATGACTATAATAAATCATTAATCATATTTTCAGGTGATTAAACATGTTGAATATATTCCCTTGTAAATCTGTGGCGCTGTGTACACTGACTGGAAAATGTTTCTTCCTCCCTCCCCCCCCAGTTTTTGATGATGAAGAAGAAAGCAAGTTGTCTTACACAGAGATTTATCAGGAGTACCAAGCTCTGGTGAGCATCATTCACTGTTGGGGGGAAATTTCTAAGAAAACCGATTTAAAATGTTAAATTAGCGTTTAGCTGAACTTCTCATTGGGTTATCTTTGTTATTTAGAGTTTCCTAACGTTGCTTGTTCTTTAGAAATCCTTTGAGCTCTAGTTGTCCTTTGTGCTTTCATGCTTAGACACCAGATAGGTAGAAAAGAGACTGTGACACACTCATATCTTACTCTGTGCTACCTTTTTAATTAAAATTAACATATCTACCAAGCTTCTAAATACAGTCTTGAAGGCAGTGATGTTATTTTCTGTCAAGTTAAAATGACAAAGAGCAGGAGGTCTGAGAACACACACAACTTGTATTTTGTTCACTGGGGAGTCTGGGAAATCTTCTGACTTAAATTTCAGTTGGCAGAAAGAAATGACAGGATTTTTTTTTGAGCTTAAATGCCTATAAACCAATGCATGCAGATTTCCAAAACACTCTTTTTGTAACGGGGCTTGGGAATGCTCGATGTTAAAAAGCATCAGCTGGATAAACAGGAGCCAGCATCCACCAGAAAAAATGAGTGGCACTGTTGTAATGATTCTCCTGTGAGTTTAAGAAGCACCCCAGCAGAAAAGAACGTGCAGTGATGAAGAAAATTCACGTGGTTCTTGGGGAAAAAGCTGACAGAGTGAGGCTTGTCCTTCCTTACAGGTGGAGAGGTTACTAGAGGACTATCTCAAAGAGGTTGGAATCAATGAGGAGAAGTTTCAAGAGGCTTTTTCATCCCCACTTGCAAAGACTCACACCTCACAGGTATTTGCCTTCCTCAAGCAAACAGATTAATTCTCAGCTTTATGATTTAGATTTCATTCTTAGCTTTACGTTTGCACTGGTACAGCTGGGGGGAGATGGAGCATGGAAAAGCTTTCTTGTTAAAACTGTAACTTTCAAACGACTTACAGCTGCAAACTTACACTGGGAAACCCAGTCCTGTCATAATATTATTGTAGACACGTTCATCCAAAGGCATGACCCACCAAATTCTTTTCCTGACTGTTACTGTATGTCTGGAAAAACAGACAGGTAGGAGAATGAAATATTAAACTTCAGAATGTGAGTGTCAGTGTAACTGCAGGCAGCCTGAGCTGGCTGTGGTTCCTGCAGGGTCTGATTTTGGTGTGTTTTCCCCCCCAGGCCATCCTGCAGACAGTGTTGGCAGCAGAGGATTTTAGGCTATT